CAGGCGGAGCGGCTGAAGGCGGAGGGCGCCGGCGTGCCGGCGTGCGAGGAGCAGCTGCAGGAGATCGAGCGCTGCATCGCCGTCTTCCTGCGCGAGAACGGCGAGCTGGGCTCGCTCAGCCTGGCCGGCATCATCGTCTCCGCCCTCTGCGCCCTCACCAGGTCAGTCCCGACGGGGCCGCTAGGCCGCCGGCCATTCGCTTGCAGCTCCACGGATGCAAACCGTCGCCTTCAGTCTCCTTAACCCTGAAGGCAGGGCTTGAGCGCAAGTCAGTAGGCAAGGGGAGGAGGAGACGATCCATCCTTGACGGTGAAGGGCGTTTAGTACGACGTTTTTATATGCCGCCACCACTAACGTCATGTGCACGTGCCAGTGTTATAAATAAAAGCCTTGGTTGAAAGAAATGAAGAAGGCTTTCAAAGCGTGGAGGCCTTGACGGTGATGTAAGAGAATGGCTGCAGACTGTTGGGGACTTGAGCTGCTGATGAAAGGTCCCCCCCCCCGTGTCCGCGGCAGGCGTAACCTGGTGATGGAGGGCGCGGCGGCCAGCGCCGGGGAGCAGCTGGTGGAGCTGATGTCCCGGGACGGCGCCTGGTTCCTGGAGGAGCTGTGCAGCATGAGCGGGAACGTGGCCTGCCTGGTGCAGCTGCTGCAGCAGTGCCAGCTGCTGCCTCATGACCTGGACATCCCCAGCCCCGCGGAGACCGCGCAGGCCGTTTACCTGGCCAACGGGGTGTACACCTGCCTGCAAGTAAGGCCAGGACATAAGCCGCTTATTTTAAATCACCTGCGTGCTATTACTGTCTGAGGACTGTTGCGTTTTGTGCTGATGACGTACGAGGTCTTTACAGGGTCATTCTGATAGTCTTGCAGCTTCTGTTTTGCTCTGTTGTTGGATAAGCATTATGCTTGGATATTTTGGACTAATTTTCTTTCAAAACGTGGAGCCCATTGTCTCTTTAAACATTTAAAAGTAGCACTTTTTCTCACTGCAAGTTAAACCTTGGGATTTTACTCTAAACTGCAATATTGAAAATCATTCCCTCGCAGTTCCTGTAGACCTTAAAAGAGTATTTGGACAGTAGAGTTCCTGATGTGGTGTTCTTCATGGTGTGTGTGTGTACTCATGTATCTCCGGTGTCCCCCCCCTCCGTGTGTTAGGAGCTGAACACAAACTTCCGGCAGATCATCTTCCCGGAAGCGCTGCGCTGCATGCTGAAGGGGGAGAGCACGCTGGAGGCCATGCTGCTCGAGCTGGACGCGCTGATCGAGCAGTGCGCCGACGGGGTCTCCCTGCAGGGGCTGGGCGAGGCTCTGCAGGCCCACCTCCGCAACGCTGCCATGGGACTGGATGAGGAGGCCGACTCCCACTACCTTGATGTCACCAGGTAGCAGGGCTCAGTGATGACCATAATGTATAATGCCCTCTCTGCAGCTTGATGGCTTGTTGGCACCAAACTCAATCAACTTAATCTCTTATATACGTACTCAAACCTTTTTCCAATGGTTAAAAAATTCTGGTGTATAAAAGCATATGGGGGAATGGACCATATTTGTGCACTGAATGAATTAAGAATAGTAGGTATTTTGTCTATATATATATAATCTTTCACAGATGTTGCTTCAAAAATGACTGATAACTAAATGAAAATTTTCTAAATGAAATTGGAATTGTCAATACCTGGGTACAGTGTTGCCCTGCGGTGACCCCACAGAGTGACTTTCACTGACACAGGCGTCTCCTGAGCGCTCCGAGAGTCGTCAGTTGGCAGTAGACAGTGTTCTTTTGTGTTGCAGGATGCTGCGAGCCCAATACTCGGAGCTCATTCAGCCCCGCTCTCTTGAGGGGTCTGTGCAGGAAACCCCCAAGATGAGCGCGGGACAGATGTTGCTGGTGGCCTTCGATGGGATGTTTGCACAGCTGGAAACTGCTTTTGGGCTTCTGGTAGAAAAGGTAAAGCTAGCTCAGCAGCCTCCTGTAAAGTGATGTGGCTTGATGTCATTTCTGGAGACCCAGGGCTGGTTTCTTTCAGGGAGATAACTGTAGCGCTCATGTGCGCAACCTGAATCTTCTCCACAGCGGACAGACGAGCACACGTGAAAGAAATCCTAGTCCGTCTTGTCTTCAGTTTACAGTGTAGTAATTGTAAGAAGTTCTGCCCTGTGCAGACTAAATTTCTGAGCTAGTTCACAAATCAGTGTACGGCACTGGTTCACACCATGTGTCCTGCTGACGGAGATGAGTAATTTAGTTGTATTTCCTGACAGGCTGGACTGCTGAGAGCTGTTGCAAAGTCGCTAAAAGGAATTTTATTGTGTGAAATAGCCGTCTTAAAGGACCCACCTTGAAACTTTAGGGCAACATTTTTCTCAGGTGACTCACCCTACCATTCACGCACGGAAAACTTTGGTGAATGCGCGGTTTCTAATTCCACCAAGAAAAGAGCTTCTCTTTCTCAGATCCAGAGAGGACTTCCCTGGTTTGTAAAGGACCCGCCTTGATGAGAACTGCGGGGGATTGTAAATGCCGCGCCTGCTGTGCCCCGTCTGCAGCTCCTAAGCTTGCAGCCCTAACCAGTCCCCCCTCTCGGCGCAGCTCAACAAGATGGAGGTGCCCGCGGCGTGGCGGAAGATCGACGTGGTCCGGGAGGCGCGGGCGGCGCAGGCGAACTTCTTCGACAGCGCCCAGCACCGCCAGGTCCTGGAGGAGATCTTCTTCCTCAAGAGGCTGCAGACCATCCGCGACTTCTTCAGGCTGTGCGGCTCCTTCGCTCAGACCCTCTCTGGTGAGAGCGCCCTGCTGTCGATCGCCTTGCTTGAGAGAGCCTCTAAGTGCCGAGAGCTCAAGGGTGGTCCCCAACAGTGCTTCACAGCTGCCGCGATGGTGGACGTCCCACTGAAATCCCACCTTTGAAAGACTTGCTGGTGGGGTTGATGGCGTCAGAGTGTGTCCGCACACATGTCCTGCGATTTACTGGCTTCCTGCGCAGGGTGTACTCCCACCTTGCATCCTGTTTCCAGGACAGGCCTGGACTTGCTGAGACGCTCGGCAGGAATAAGCATCTGTCCGACTAAGTCAAATTCTGGTTTTCGTATCTTGTTTCAGGGAATACTTTTTAAAGCGGTAACAGACTAAATCCTGATCCGTGGTATGCATTCTTTACCCTCAGTATAAAGTTTCTACTCAGTATGTTTCTGTATACGCAAATGATGAACCTGTGTGATTTTCAGACTTGCATTGGAAGGTTGTCCTGGTTGGTTCACTCTTGCCATTCCTTGCACAGGAACCTGCCCTCCCCCCTCTGAAGACCCGGGTCCCTCCAATGGCCCTGTGCCTCTAGCCGGGGTGAAATCGATGTACCGCGGCACTGTGGTTGTGAACGAGGACCAGATGGCCCGGCCCATCAAGGCCTTCACGGCAGACTTTGTGAGGCAGATGCTGATGGGCTTGCCCACGCAGGTGCTGGGACTGGCCCTGTGCAGCGCCCTGAGCGCTCTGGGAATGGACCTCATCGCACAGGTGGAGGCCAAGGACTTTGGCGCCGAGGGCAAGGTGTCCCTGGACGACATGTGCAAGAAGGCAGTGGAGCAGGGCGTGCAGGCCGGCCGGCTCTCGCAGCTCCTCCTCAACCGAGCCACAGTGCTGGCCAGCTCCTTCGACACGGCCTGGAAGAAGCTGGACCTGGTCAGGCGCGTGGAGACCAGCATTGAAGCCTGTAAAGTCAGCCTCCAGAGGACGCAGCTCCACATCGCCATGTTCCAGGTAGGAGCATTACCAGCACGCTTGAGGGATGCTGCTAGTTCAATACACTGACACATTGCAGCGTGCACTAGAGTTAAGTGTTTTTGTGTGATGGAAGACCAGAGTTCTCCTCCTTGGGCCTTAAAGTTCAGCTCTGATCCAGCCTCCTTGGGGTTTGTACTGACCGTTTTCACCCCTCTCCGCAGTGGCAACACGAAGATGTGCTGGGAACACGGAACCAGCCGATGTCCGTCAGCCCCCCGCCGCGCTCCGTCATCCTCAGCAACATGAAGAAGAAGCTGTACAAGCTGAGCCAGGACGAGGCGTCCATTGCCAGCGTGCAGGTGAGATGTGGCTCTGCCTCCGCATCCCTCCACTGGTATTTATTTGGCTTTGTTAGATGTAAATCCTGAAGCAGTTTGACCGCAAACAGTTTTAACTTAAAAATTGTTTAGAAGCTGTGATAGGATGATAGTAATGTGAGAAGCTTTAGCAGCAGGAAACAAATGTGCTCTTCTTGCAGGAGAAGCTGGCTGCACTCGAGGGCAGTATCGAGCAGCGTCTGAAATGGGCTGGGGGGGCTAACCCTGCTCTGGCGCCGGTGCTGCAGGACTTTGAGGCGACGATCGGGGAGCGGCGTGCGCTGGTGATGAAGGAAGGGCAGCGCACCAGCCAGGTCACCTTCCTCTGCAGCACCATCCTGAACCTCGAGAGCCTGCGCACGCGCACTCCTGAGGCACTCAGCATGGACGCCGCGCTGTTCGACCTGGTCAAGCGCTGCCAAGCCACCTGTTCGTACGCGGCGCAGTTCAACAGCTCCGTCTCGCCGCTGGAGCTGCGTCTGCTGCACAGGCTGGTGAGTCTGAGGGAGGCTGCACTGCAAGAACTACAGACGGAAGTCACGTTGGTTGCTTAGAAGCTGCAGGAATCTGGTACCAGAGCACCTCGTATCATTCACTGGAGGGAGGCTCCTCGTAGGCGCCTGTGAGGATTGAGATCTGATTACTCTCCTTTACTCTGTAAGGCAGTTTCTGGAAATGGTGAAATAAAGCTCTAGGAGGCAAAATAGGAAGCATTTGAGGCCAATGGGATTGTTGCATTTCTCCATACCATAGGCTCGTTGAATAAAGGTGGAGCCTGTCCTTTTCCATGAGCGTCCAGGGCTCAAGAGCTAGTGGTGTTCTCTTGCAGAGTGCCGGGCTGGACACGCCCATCGGCAGCCCTGACTGGCTGGTGTGCGCGCACAAGCTCCTGACCCAGGAGATGTCGACTCAGAGGGCAGTGCAGGCGGATCGCGAGCAGCAGCTGGACAGCGTCACCGAGACCCTGCAGGGGCTGGTGGACACCATCAAGGGCATCCTGTCCACCCACAACCGCCAGCTGGCTGATGTCAAGCACCTGCTGCGGGCCATGGCCAAGGTCTGTACCCCTGGGTCTCCAGGATCTCTCTGCCACGGCTAGGGAAAATTTACAAAGCTCTGCCAGATGGAACTTGGCAGTCTTGATTGAATGTGTGTCTTGTGCATTCTGCTTAATCGGAAAGTTTCTGTAGAATATTTACATCACAAGGTAGGCTGGAAGGGTTGTAACAGCATATTGTCGGTATTGTGCGTGCATGGGAGCGTCCTGAAACTGTTCTTGTGTTGAAAATTTCTCACAGGATGAAGAGAATGCCCTGGTGGAGGGCGAGGATGTGCCGTACGAGGGCAGCGTGCGTCAGTTCCTGTCGGAGTACAAGGCGTGGCAGGACAACGTCCAGATTGTGCTTTTCACCGTGGTCCAGTCCACAGGGCAACCGCGCAGTCAGGAGCAGGTGGAGCTGCTGCAGGAGATCCCAGCCACACTGAAGGAGCTCAAAGTACAGAGCCAGAGGTCTGTATCGGCACGCGTGCATGCTTCTAAGGACATGGCTGATTACAGATCACTGCTTTGGCTGACGTTTCTGATTGCATTTGATCTTCTGTTAGCTCTGAATTTCAGTCTGTATCCACCAACGTTCCCTGTCTCGTCTCTTCTCAATCTGCAGTGTCTACAATGGGCTAGTGGGCTTTGCCTCACCCCTGGTGACCGAGAGAGCGAGTGACTGTGCAAGTCCCACTTCCTCCAGCATGCAAACAAGCTTTGCTGCAGGTAGGGTCAATTCTCAAGCCTTTGTAGACTTAGCGCCGGAGGACACAGGTTCTTAATTACAACTGATGTGGCTCAGATTCATTTCTAGTTTAGGTGTTAACCCTTTTGATTCATTTGTCCTGAGACCTTTTTGTTTTAAGAGCGTCTTCTGCAGCTGTGAAACCGATGAAGGGTGACTGAAGTGGCGAGTGAAAGCGCTGTTTTCAATCCTGTGTTTCTAGCAGTGCGTTGCAGTGGGCCGAAGACGCAGCCGGACAACATGTCCCAGAATGCGCGCAAGCCCTTCCCACGGAACCTGGGTACTTCAGCGGACACTCCGCCCAGCACCCTACTGCTTACCAGCAAAGGACTGGCCCCCAGCCCCAAGAGGGCTGTGAGGGACCCAAAAACAGGGAGAGGTGTGTGGCTGACTTCGTATTTCGGCACAAGACACCTTGGAAAAGTTTGCCACTCTTTGTGTTTTGAAGTAATTGCTTGAGCTCTTAATGCACAGTCAGTTCTTTCAATGAATGAGTTTCCTAGACTGGGGTAGAATTTAGCTTTGTTCTCGCTGTTTGTTTCAGAAGAGCATTTATTTCTTTTCGTTTAATAAACAGGTCGCCTGCGCGGTTTTTCGATTTTCGAGCAGGCTTTTGACGCTTTGTTCTTCCTTGCGTTTGCACAGCTGTCCAGGAGCGGAATTCGTATGCTGTCAGTGTGTGGAAGCGAGTGAAGGCCAAACTGGAGGGGAGAGACGTGGACCCCAACAGGAGGATGAGTGTAACAGAGCAGGTGAGGCTGAACCTTCCAAACACGTTAGGGCAGCGGCAGCACCCTCCTGGATCTGGCAAGATCCCATGTGAGGCCAGGAAACGTTGACATGTGCTGACACGCACCAGATGGGCTGGGTGGCCTCTTCTCATCGGTAACCTCTCCCGACGTCTTCGGCCCCAAGCTGTCGTGTGAATGGAGACGCCCGGACCTGCCCGGCTCACCGGTTTCCTTCCTCATTGCCTTCCAGGTGGACTGTGTGATCAAGGAAGCTACGAACCTGGATAACCTGGCCCAGCTGTATGAAGGGTGGACGGCCTGGGTGTGAACTGGAAGCCAGCAGATCTCTGGTCCAGCAAGGGCAGAAATCCACCAGAATCCACTGGGTCTGGGGCAAGCGAGCCACAGAGCACCGTGGGGGGGAGGGGGGGCTAGTAATCCTCCCTGGGGCCCACTCCGGATCCCCGTAGCACAGCTGCACCCGGCGATCCAGATAACACCACGAATGGGTCTGCACCCTTCTCATTAGGAGCTGGGGGGGTGACAGGAATGGGAAGGGGGGGAGAAACGACAGGCGCCCAGCCTGAGCCACCCCCCTGCCCGTAATAAATATAAATAAAAACACCTCTCCTGAACTCCAAGAACATGCAGAAAAGGTTTTGTGGTGGGGACTTTACAGGAGACAGGATTCCGCAGAAACACCCCAGGTAGTTTTCCTCACACCTGTAAGGCAGAGAGATGGATACCCGACATCCATCAGACCTAGTGCATGGTTCTGGAAAATACTTCAACGGAGAGGGGAGAAAGGGGAAAACCATCCTGTTAGGATCCTCTTGACTTTTTTTTCTTGTTTTTTTTTTTGTGGTGGTCCAACGCTGCTTGTTGCCCCGCAACAAAGCTGGTTCACTGGCAGGTAGAGAGGACAGGGTGGCCGAAGAAAGGGAGGCTCGAGTGAACTCGGTTGTCAGCCCGAGAGCTGAAGTCAGAAAACAGAGGACTTCTTTCAGAAATGGTGTCATCAGAATCGCACTTTTTATTGGACACGAAGAGACTTCTCGAACACCGCTCTAAACAGGCGAGATGGGTTTGTTGCAGTCTTTATTCGATGAAGGTTTGCAATGCGATGAAGAGCAATTGGCTGGCATGTTATTTTTTTAAAGTTTCAGGCATTCTGTATAATGCTTCAGTTCTAGAAATCCAGTTACCTGTTTAGTGACGACGTTTCTGATTGATTTACGGATGAAAAGCAGAAGAGAAAGATGTCTTTTAAGTATCTGAACAAAGATGCGGTCATTTCTTAGAGACTTTCAAATTCAAAAGCCACATGTAGAGCAGTTTGTTGATTTATACTTATTTTTTCTTGATTTGCATCTCTGTTGTGTATTGTAGACACTTTTTTTCTCCCACTGTTCCTGCTTTTGAAAAGCCCATTGCAAAAATTGGGCTAATTTTTTTTTGGCTTGCCAGTGAAAAGATGTGCCATTCCTGTTTATATATATATATTAATCCCCTTTAGCTTGAGTTTTACTAATCTAGATCTCTTCCAGTTTTACATTCTTTGTGGGAGACGATAAATAAAGTGATTGTTTTGGTGACGGTGCAAATTGTTGTTTCTTAAAGATTTTATTCCGTTTTGTTTGATGCACAAATAAACCAGCAGGTTTTAAAATTTGTCTTCACTTTCACTTTTTCTTCTGTTGGGGGGGGGGGCTTTATTTTGTTTTATAAAACTCATCAGCAAAAGCTTTTAAAATCTCTCAGGCCAGTTGTAGTGAACATTCAGATTTGTATGCATGGAGTAACAAATTGCAAGTAGGAAGTCACAATAGCTTCTAAGATGCATCTTGACCGAATGCAGATTTATTTTCAGTCACATCCCAATGACAGAGAACTAAGGTTTTCAGTGTGTCTATTTAGCTGCAGTCAGACCACCCAAGCAAAGGGGCTTTTGGTGTTGAACAAAACCTGGGTTAGGTTTGCCATCTAGCAAGAACATCTAGTGAGAACAAGAAATATTCTGTTTGTGTAAACTTGACGGTTAATTCACTTCTGCACATGCGTATCAAATCAGTTACGGTCAATGAAAATCCACTGCATTTTCAGTCTTGCAAAAATGTGCGAAAACAGCTAATCTGTTTCAGCTGTCTGCTCTGTACATTTTGGTAGGTGTCCACGAACAAGTGCAATTTCTGATGTAAAAACATGTAACTAACATTAATGATTGATTTAAGTGTTATTGGGCTTTATGTATTTAAAAAAACTTGTTCTTCCAGAAGAGGGTACATAGTCCCTCCTGTAAAGTGACAAAAAAAAAACATGAGTGTTATCCTGGGCAAATTTCCCATTGACCTTGACCAATCGTGGCCTAATATTCCCCATCTCTGATCTGGCTTCATTACTCTGCTCTCCTCCCCACTGAGAGCTGGTGTGTGGGGAGCGTACTGGCGCACTATGGCTGCTGTCACATCATCCAGGTGGGGCTGCACACTGGTGGTGCTGGTGGAGGGGATCCCCATTACCTGTAAAGAGCTTTGAGTGGAGTGTCCAGAAAAGCACCATAGAATTGTAAGAAATTATTTTGTTAAGAAATACTGAAACTCCTGTTGTTTTTTTTCATGCCACAGTGTTGCAAAATAGTTCATTGTGTTGTAATGGATTGTAAGTGTACATGAAATATGAATACTTCCTGTACTTGTCAATTAAGAAAAGGGGTCATTTGTGAGACTCCTGTGAAATCTCTGACCTGGCACAGTCCTGAAGGAGTCCTGCTGTACAAGGTTTCCTTGCTAGCTGAGGGGACAGGTTGTCAGCACGTTGGAGAAATCGGGGAACCCCGCACGTGCACCAGCGCATTAGTGGGGAGACGAACAAGCATGAGACGAGTTCTCACGCCTCGAGCACTGAACTCGCCGAAGAGGAGCCACGTGAATCTTTAATGCAACTTCAGCCTCGGCTGTAGTGCTGAACCAGCGCCTGGGACTGATGAACAGAAAGTCATCAGAGATCGATCTTGCTGCGTTTAAACCAGCAGGGGCGTGAAAACTAGGACACGGGTAGGCGTTCATTCTGTTACTCGAGAAATTGATATCGGAAGTTAAAGGGTTGATCGTTATTTTTAAAAAAAAAAAAATACATTTTTTGTTCTGTTTGGACCTAGGGCTGCTCTCTGGGCATTTTTTTTGCGCACTGGGCATTGAAACAGATGGGTGGGAAGGTGGATTTTCCTTATTTTCGAGACCCACTACCAAGCACAAGGAGGTTTCCTCCAGGACAGGATAACCTGGTGTGTTTGGCGACGGCGGCTGTCCTGTGATTAGTTACTCTTATCTGGCAACCTGGGGTCCAAGAACAGGCACACCCTGCCAAAAAAAATTTGTTTTGAGAAGGGATGTTAATATTCAAACCACTGAGCCCGCCCTCGTTCCACTCTTACTGGCCAGAATATGTTGTTTTGAAACGAGTTGGCCAATGGGCGCCATGCAAGCATGGAGAACAAGTGCCCGTGTATATCATTTTGAATCATTTGCTTAGTGCGTGGGCTCATTTGATCGACCGATTAGAAACGGATTGGACATCGACGGCCGTCAACATCTGTCGACAATACAATCGATCAATCTTGATTTTCTTTTTTTGGGGGTCGGACAAAGCCAAGCGCGTTCCTCTCTGCGGAGTCGGGGCCTATGGGAGATGTAGTTTTTTGCCGGATCGTTCTCGAGCGACGAGACGCGGCGTGGATTGCGTAATAGAACTACAAGTCCCAGAGGGGGTCGCGCCGGGGGCGGGGACGTGCTCGCTAGCTATACTCTGCAGACGGGAGCTGCTCCTGTCTTCTTCGTGTTGCGAGCTGTGGGCGCGGAGGTCCGGCGCGTTGTGCAACGCTTTTAAATTCAATTTCGAAACGCCAGGTTAAAACTCTTACATCTTGTATTTAAGCCCCTGCAGGCGTCACATTATGGCGGAAGGTGACAATAAAAGCTCCAACCTGCTGGTACGTTAAATATATTTTTTACAAATTTCAACGAGGCTGATCCGACCGATCGTTGGGTTCTGCTGCTTATTTTCAATTCCCAGCCGTTAAATCGGCCGTTCCTCCTTTCTGATTTTTTTTGTTGTTGCAGCTAATCGTTTTCCTGTCTGTCATTTTGAGGACCCGTGTCCTGTCAAGCCCAGGCGTTTAGAGGCAAATGCAGATCTGGTCATTTTTGTGAGCAATTTTAATATCGGTTAAAAGAGCTTGCAGTCTTTGCAGAATCGAGTACCGGAGCGTTTTCTTGTGTCTTGTGGATATTCGGGAGCTGTTGTGCCTGGATGACCTTGTGTTTTGCGTTTTTTTTCCCGTCTCTTCTTTTATTAATCTCTCGGCTCACCTCGGGCTTCTGCCATCTTTAAAAGGCTCGCAGTTGCTGTAAAACGCAGAAGGCTGGGGGTGGGTAGTGTGTCCTATGACAGGACCTCTTGTCTCCCTCTGACATCGTGTGAAATGATCCTGAGCTGTCACCGTGCACGATACAGAGGGCTGCGCTTTTCTGATTTCACTTCCCTCTCCGACGGCTCCTGACGTTAAAAGATGCCTTTGTCTCGTACACACCGGAGAAGTAGATGGTTGTGCTGGTGATCGTGCACCGCCGTCACGTAGTGAAAATGTGCCGTGTGAGTTTGCACGTCAGGTGTGTGCATTGAGCTACGGTTCTCGATATGGCATAAACCCACCCAGTCCTTGGCCTGGAGCTCTGAATTATTCACGAATACGAGTAGGGGGGGGGGACGGGACAAAACAAGAGGGAAATGTTCTGCTTCCTCAAGCTTTCGTCATTTTGCAGTGCTGCAGTTCAAGCCTCGTGATGCCGTACACCGCTCGCCCCTCGCCCCGAAGTTGAGATGCAGAGCCGTGCCGGGGGAGAGGGGAGTTGCACAAGCAGACTGTGCTGTCCGCTTATCTTGGCAGGGTGACACTCCACCACACGCCGGGAGAGAGAGAGATTGTTGCCCTGGGCTCGCTAGGATCAGAGAGGCGTGTGCGCAGTGAAGGTGGCGAGACCAGCACAGCTTGCACTGGCAGCCCGATGATTAGAGTCGCCGCCGCCGCCTCTGGAATTTTGTCCCGTTGAGGAGTTGGGAGCTTTGAGGCCGGGGGTGTCTTTTTAGCCGCCCCCATAAATGCAGGACGGGTCAGCTTCGGTTTACAACACCTTGCATTCTGATTCTGGGTGTTTCCCAGCACAGGAATCCGGCCACCCAAGTAGACGTGGTACCCAAGTGACAGGGCTGGGTGACATGTGAGTGACTGACAGCTCAGTTTCTTGTCTTTTGCACATTCTTTCCAGCCCAGAAACTCTCTGTAGGCTGGTGACTCACCTGTCTTGTACTGTCTGAGGTGTGGTCCTGACCTCCTGTCCCTGGGAGGGTGGCAGAGCTCAGGTCCGCCCTCTCCCTCCCGAAAGAAGCTCGAAAACCATTCATCTTTATGACTGGGTTTAGTCCGCAGTCACCCTGTCCAAAAATCACCCAGCATGCCACTGCCTTCCACCAACACTCGTGAGGCAGCAGTGTTCGTTGGGCGCGTGAGGTTTCTGTCATTTACTTTGGTTTTTCTAAACTGAAAGCTTTCAAGAAGAGCCCGTGCTGGTGTTCAGCACTTACTGCTTCTTAAGAAACCCAATACGTTTTGTAAAAGACTTGATATTTGTCGAACACTAGCCCTGGGGAAGCGTGCAGTGTAGACAGTTGTATGTGTAACAGGACTGTTTCTCAGAAGTTTATCTGTACAGGTACAGGGATGTGGCTCAGTTTGGCACCAGTGTATGGCCAGGGACTGTGCAATAGGGCACAGATAACAGTTTGCTGTTTGTGGAATTAGAGGGCGATTAACTTTCACACGAAATAAGATCAGATCACTTTATTGGCCATATACAATTTCTTGTATTGGGAATTTATCTTTTCGGATACCCCAACTTGCTCTCCATGAGACACACAGACAGGGAGAGAAGCTGGGGGTCAGAGCGCAGGGTCAGCCATCAATACGGCGCAGCTGGGGTTAAGGGCCTTCCTCAGGGACCCAACGGAGTAGGACTCCTCTGCCGGCCGCGGGATACGAACCAGAAACCTTCCAGCCACACGCGCAGATCCTGAGCCACAGAGCCACCGCACTGTCCCAGACTGGATATAAAGATGTGTTTTAACATGTGAGCTTGGCATACCTTCTCATCCCCCTGGGTTGCTATTTCAGGGACGTGAGAGGCTGACTTTGTGGGGACACTGGGCGATTTAGGTCAAGGGTAGCCCCGGCAGAGACGCTTCTGTTCTGTCCTGCAGCCTCTCGCTCATCAAAGTGATCCAGTCTGTAGCCCATTTACTGGAAGGTTCAAAGCTGAAGGTTCTTGTCCAGAACCAGGCTTGGTTCTGGCGTGGTGTCTTGCCCACTGTGGAGCGGTCCCTGTGGTGCTGAGCCGGTTCTGTCGCGTGTCCCCCCCCCCGCAGGCCCAGGAGACGGCCCAGCTGGAGGAGCAGCTGCAGGCCTGGGGAGAGGTCATCCTGGCCGGAGACCAGGTGCTGCGCTGGACGAAACCCTGGTTCCCTGCGGCCCTGATGGGTGTGACCACCCTGCTCTTCCTGTGAGTACCCACCGGCACCCGTGTTCGCCCCGGAGTCCCCGGGGGTCCCGGGAGTCTGCAGCAGAGCCACCCAGCAGCTTGGCTGACACAGGTTTCTCAAGAACTTCGGGGAAACAGCTGGTTGTGATACACAGAACAAAAACACAACCTACCAAGCAAACCAGACGGGCTGAGTGGCTTTCTCTCGTTCTCACAGACGTCCTGAGATCTTGGCAGAGCATGCTTGGAGAACGGAGACAACGTCGTAGACTCTTAGGACCTGGGTTCTTAATACAGATCGAGAATAGATCTCGGTTTAATAGCAACCCCAAGCAGTTGAAGGACATTGACATGCATGCTCGGGTATTTCACTTGTCCTTCCCAGAGCCTGATGTACATTCCCTTCCCTTCCGCGCAGTGCTCCTTTTGCACCGATATACTCTACAGCGCCCCCTTCAGCTGGATCTGCACTGTACGTGTGCAGTGCCCCTTGCCCTATAGCCGGGGGGGCAGATGGTGAAGATGGTTCTTGAGATTAAGCCAAGGCGTCTTCTGCGTCTGTGCAGTCCGATTAAGCTTCTTTATCTGCTATGGTTTTATCGCGAGGGAAACCACAAGGGTTGCTTTTGCAGAGCTTAACGACATCTGTAAAATCACGTGAGTGTTACTCAGCAAAGTACAAGCAATATCTTGTATGTCGCAGTATCCATCATCGATTCTTTCTGTTGATTTCTAGACTTAATCTCTGCATCGATCAAGATGAGCTTTTTTTTTTTGCTGGGTGCCGTGTTGGGAAAAGCTGTGTACAGACCCCGTGTGTTTCTCTGGCTTGAAACTAATGCCCTGCCCACATACTAAAATGCAGATTCGCCTCTTAAGGCCCAAAAATAACTGTTTGCCATTGAAACAGACCATTGCAGTCGCACAGGAACAGTGTGGAACAGTAATCCCAGTGTAGTTACGAGGTGACACGGATCCTGATGGGTGTGGTGTTCTAGTCACTCCCTCTGATAGATGCACACCCTGCCTACAGTGTAGGTGGATCTTAACTTGCAATCTGCCAACCGAGACATTTGGATTTTCCATTTCTCAGTTGCTTCAGTAGTTCCGTAGAATAACAGTCATTTTGACAAGTGTAACTATGATGCTTTCCTCTTGTCTGTGCGGGTGGCAGTTCTTTCAGTACGAAGCCTGTGTGTGCTGTGCTGCCGCAGTCTCTCAGGTGTCTGACTCCTGTTTCCCTTTGCAGGATGGTCTATTACCTGGACCCATCGGTGCTGACCGGGGTGTCCTGTCTGGTGATGGTCCTGTGCCTGGCCGACTACCTTGTCCCCACCCTCGCTCCCAGGATCTTTGGCGCTAACAAGTGGTGAGCTGTGCTCCTTGCAGTGGGTCTTATTTGATGGCCACATTCATGGTTAATTGTCTTTCCTTGGGTTGAACAACAATACAGTGATCAGAATCAACTGGACAGCTGTATCTGATGTCCCTGACTGCCCAGTTTTCTGTGGTTACCCGCTGAGCTGCTGTCTGAAAGGGCTTGTAATACACTGAGGCATTCCCGACTGGACATGTCTTGGGGAGCTACTTCACCAGATGTTGGAATGCAAAGCTGGGGATTTATTCCCAACCTTTCCTTCTCGCTCTCTTCCTGTCTCACTGTTGCTAGGTTTGTGTTGGTTGAGTGTAATCCAATAAAACATGACCTTTGTTTCTTGGCCTTGACGTAGCAGGGGGACCATATTTAGTGTGCCTTCTGTCAGACTGCAGAGTTGCTTCATATTGCACAAGTGCAGGGTGATATTTCAAGGTGGCCTTTGAACGAGGACATCTGATAGCGGTGTGGTGCCTCTGCCTGGGTCCTCGGGTCACTCTCTGCCTGGGCCCGGTGAGCTTCAGCTCCCCAAGGGGTTGAGTGACAGTGGGCAGCTGCGGTGTGGAGTTTCCAGTGTCTGACTCGGCAGCTATCGCCCCCCTGGCCCGCAGATGGGCTCACTGGGCTGGAGTGATGACAGCAGCTTTCGGCAGGGGGGCGAGAGAGACTCTCTCGCTACAGAGGGGGGGATTTTTGTCCACGTTCTTGCGCTCGCTGTCCTGACCATCGTGAACAGGAATCTACAGAACGCTGTGAACTCCGGCATTTGTGATGGCGGAATGCCGAGATTCCCTGTTGGATGTCTCCTTGAAGAAAGTGCTGAGGCGGCTGGTGCCCGTGCTTGTAAGAGTCAAGAGAAAGGGTGTCCAGGGCGTAGTGTCTGATTTAGGGTAGATTCTTTATCCTAGACCACAGGCTTGGTGCAGAGCTACACAGGACACAAAATATTTGGAAAGGTGGTCTTCTGAAATGTCTTGCACTGGAGGCTATGGAAATGTTTATCCAAATAAGTTTGTTTTCCCCCCTGAAGCACATGCTCTTGTTTCTTCACCTCTGCTGTCCTGTGGGCCCGTCAGGTGATCTGACAGGTGATCCTCCAGCTCAAACAGGTTATCTCTCTCTTCCCCCCCCGAAGGACCACTGAGCAGCAGCAGCGCTTCCACGAGATCTGCGGGAACCTGGTGAAGACCCAGCGCAGGGTGGTGGGCTGGTGGAAACGCGTCTTTGCCCTGAAGGAGGAGAAGCCCAAGATGGTACATGGAGAATCGCAGGGGAGGGGGGTGGGCAGGGGCGTTGCAGTAGTTTCACAAACCCCCATTAGCATCAGCGGAGCAGCTCAGATTCGAGTAAGCAAGTCCTGCACTACTGCACTACCAGCAGCAGTGCTCACTATGGGCTGTTCTAGCGCTTGGAAGTCCGCCATTTAGAAGTTACACGTTTGCAGGTTCAGGAATGGAATTGTGATGGGATTGACCTGGCAAATTTGAGAGGAAAGGGTAGCGCTTCTGACGATTGCAGATGAGCGGAGTTACAGTCTAGCTTGTGAAGTTCTGCCCTTCATTCAGCCCGTCGGCTGGTGCTCGGAGATGGTGTGCACAGATGAGCTGACTCAGACCTCTGTCTCCCCCTCAGTACTTCATGTCGGTGATCAGCGCCCTGGTGGTGGTGGCCTGGATTGGACAGCAGGTTCACAACCTGCTCCTGACCTACCTGATCGGTACGACGCCGCCTCCTGAAACTGAACCGATGTTGCTGTTGGCTCAGTTAGGCCTCCAAGTCACTGTAACCCTCTGTTGTGTTGAGTGTCTATTTGAAAATTGGTTTGTGTTACGAAATATACATTTCATATACAAGTCAAATACTGTTTTTAACACTGAAGTTCTAGATTGGATGCAAGTGGAGTAAAAAACTTTAATCTCTTCTGATTTGAATCCCTTCTAATCCAGTGTGATGTGGATTCAAAAAGTGTTTTTCTGGCCACTTTTCTTGAATGCAGTAGATAGTATGAGTTTGACAGGAAACTGTCCCTTTAACTGCAATGAGTAACCACGATTTTCACACTAGCTTTCACAAGAGGCAGCGCTGCAGAGTCGTTTTAACACCGAGGATAAAGAAAGGAGGCCAGTGCATGCCAAAAATATCCGCAGCGCGTCCTACCCTGACCCCCAAGTCTATCATTTCTGGCAAGAGGAAAAAAAGCTGCTGAGTTTACACTGGAATGGTTATTTCCAAATTTGTAAACCGTAATACTTGAAGTTAATAAGCAGTTAAACATGTCATCTGTATGTACTTGGCACTGAAAAACACAGTGGACATCCTGAGAATCAGTCGTGAGAGAAGGAGAAGAAGACAAATGCAAACTTCAAAAGTGCATTTAAATTAAGAACAGGAAGTTCTTTACAAAAGGGGTTGTGGGTGCATGTAACAAGCACCGTTCCCATGAGGATGAGGCCAATATTTTGGCTTCTTTAGAGAAACTGCTGGTTGGGACCCTTGGATCAGTTAGCTTCTATAGAAGCAACATGCTAGATGGGCCAACTGGTATGAGCATGTATATCATAATTGTAGGGATTTTAGCCTTCTGACTTGCTGGTAACGTGCTGTGGTTTTCTCATCGGAGGAGACTTGTAACGTAGAGGTGGAAGAACTGTGAATGCAAAAATAGACCATGTTGTCAGCATCTAGTGTAGGCAGAGAATACAGGAGTTTGGATGCAGTTGTGGCTCGTGAGGTTTTCCCCCAGTAGCCTGCTGTAGCCCAGCGCACCAAGCAGGCGGATCTCACGACTTCCTCTTCCTGTCCGCCTCTGTGTTCGCAGTGAGCTTCCTCCTGCTGCTGCCGGGGCTCAACCAGCACGGCGTCATCAGCAAGTACATCGGCATGGCCAGGCGGGAGATCAACAAGCTGCTCAAGCAGAAGGAGAAGAAGAACGAGTGAAGGCGGGGGGACGAGGGAGGAGGAGGGAGCCCCTGCCCCCAGACGCAGGCCAGTCGCCACGGCCCCCCGGCTTTCCTCGTCCCCACTCCCCCGGGGAGAGGGGCCGAGGAAACGCCCGGCTCCCACCAAGCTGTTTTTGCCTGCTGCCGTTTGCGTTCCGCTTAACGAGCTTATGTAAATGAGTCCCACGTCATGACTGCTCCGTATTCCTCCGCCAGTATTGAAATGCCTCTGCCCCTCTCCCCTTCCATCGAGCTGTGGCTCCGCAGGCACCGCCCGCTGGAGACTGACTGGGACGGTAATGCAGTCTGTGGTAAAGCACGAACTCCTTTCAATGCAGAAGAAGGGACTGAGATGGGATATAAGATTTTACGTATAGCTAATTTTCTTGAGCAAACAACACGGTGCCCACGTGGACTGTTTTGGGTTTTAGTTGTTTTGTTTTTTTTTGTATGTGCTTATCTGGGGTTGCAAAAGCCAGCCTTCCTTGGAGCAGCAGCGGTCTTATTCCTGCTGTGTTCTCCCTTGTTTTGTTTCTAACGTTGCACTGACTTGAGAAGGAAACTGGACGCCGCTGTTACAGAATGACTCTTCCCCTCTGCCAGTGTGCAGGGTGTTAAACTGCTGTATTTGCAGAACGGTTTCGGTTCCGTTTGCCACCTCCTCCACTAGCTGCCCTTTGACCTCTGGCTCCTGTGTGCCCGACAGCTGGGGCTGGGCTGATCTGTAAATAAGTCTGTCCTTTTCGCTCCTTTGGTGTGAGTTGTATATTTATGTTCTAGGTGGGCTGAACCTTCGAGTTGGGCCTCTGTACTTCTCTCCTTCCTTTGACCACTTCTTTCCTTAACTTCTCTGTTAAAGTAATAAAGCCTGATGAAGAATTGAAAGAAGTGTCTTGTCTGTTTGTGTGGAACAGGCAGTTCAGTATTTTATAGTATTCAATATTTGATTTTGAAGTGCTGGCTTCCATGTTGAGTTTTGCTAATCCATGAGATTATGCTGGTAAAATACCATTCTATCTCGGGAGTAAAATCGGCTTTCTGCTTATGCACCTAGCATCTGTTCAGAGAGTCTGGCCTTGGCGAGACTGAGCGTGGGGAATGGAGAGGGAGGTTATTGCGAAAGAACGCCTTCCTGAGCCTGGACGTCTGGAGGGTCCATCTGAGGTAGTTGAAGCCCCTGGTAAGGGCATTCCCAGTGTGTGTCCAGTTGGAGCTCTACTGGGCATGCCCACTAAGCACGGGCCTTTAGGCCTACCCAGAATGCACCAGAGGCACATCCCTTGGGCTGGCCTGGGAGTTGCCTCAACTACTTTCAACTCTATCTGAACCTCCCGACTCAACGTGCTGTTGCCACAGCCCTCCCCAGCACAAGCAGACTGAAAACAAATGAAGCTGTGGGTATGAGTTTGTGAACCAAATGTTGTGTCCTGTGATTGCACCTAGGGGAATAAAGCAAACAAATGCGACTTATGCAGTGTGCCACACTGGTTTTAATAGTGACCTGCAAATAAATGTTCAGCGTGTGCAAATGGAGCTAGATCTATATTATAACAAAAATACTTCTCTAACGCCAAGCAAGCTTTCTGCAGGAGGGTGTAATGGAGCTGGGGGGGGGGTCAGTAGAGGCGCAGGCTACAGCAGTCACTCTCCCAGCGCCGGGATTCCCACAGCACACGGTCTCCCGCTCGTCTCCTGCGGTGTCCTGGGACCGCCGGCAACTGCTCTTCCCCTAGACAAGGACACACAGGGGGGACGGTCTCACACAGCACAGAGTTTTCAAACGATAGAATTCGGGGATGTCAAATGAGTGGCCAGATCCGTGCTTGGACCATGTGGAATGTGACCCTGGTTCAGCTGGAGAGGGTGAAAGGTACAGCCGGGAAGCAGGGCGGTCTGTGAACAAGTGCTGGCCAGGTTCTGAGAGATGGTCAGAGGTGCTCCTACCCAGATGACGAGCGTTTTGGAAAAAGTGAACCCAGCCCACCCCGATCTTGTGGAAAAAGCTGGAATTTCCAAGGTAAGAGAGTATAACTCCTGTTCAAAGGTATTAATTATACTGCAGGGTTTTCAGCTTGTTCTCATTATATTTTTTGAATATTTCTTGGATCTGTGCAGTCTTTAATGATGAGTTCTGTCTCTATCTCGTGGACTGCTTGCTGCTGCTCTCTCTCTTGATCTCTGATCAGCAAACATACTTGTTAACCATTAAACCCAGGTCATTCTGCAGTTCTGCTGTCCCGCCCCTCCTTCCTCACTCGCAGGAACACCCCCCAGGGAAAGGAGGGTCTCATGCCATATCATGGATGCATGTTCTCTAAATGTGTTCACGCAACCGTGGAGAAAGTTGCTCCTGACTTCCTTAAGATCCAGGTTAGGTCAAGACTGGCCGAACTGAACCCTTGCGTAACTGGAGGAGTGGGGGCAGCGGTTTCGGAAAAGAACGAGTCCTGCTCGGCAGATCATCCAGTTATGATGCACAGATGTGTGAACGGAAACGCGAAGGCAGCACCGACCTCTGCCGTGAGCTGTGCGAGTATGCTGAAGCTGAAGCTCACCTGTGATGATGTTGTAATTGTGCCAGTGAGTGGGCAGCCCTGTGGAACGGGCAGAGACGGGCTGTGGAGCTGCCCTGCAGTGTGCTGTCCTGTAGGTGGTGCTGTAGTCCCTCCGTGTGGCTGGGGGGTTGGTCACTTCACTCATGCCCAAACCGTTTTGGCTGTGGCTTCGATTTCTCACTCCGTTCTCATGCAGAACGTAGTGCTGTAACACGGAGAGCAGCGCAGTGAGACATCGAACCCCGAGCGCGGCCCTTTTTCATGCTCTTCTCTGGGGAAGAAAATGTTAAATGGACATGAAAACTGAAACAAAAGATTATTTTTTCAGAAAATGTTTTGTGCCCCTGTTTACTCCATTTCAAAAGCGTTACCAACTTCAAACAGATCAGGACTGCAAGTCCAAGGCTAGTGCATAGCGCCCCCTGGTGTTTGAATTCTTCACAAAACATTTATTACTACGTTTGGAAATAATTTTGGTCCGGAAACCTTTCTCAATACCCAGGGCTGGTCAGAAGATGGAAAAGATAGATCTTGTAACAGTAAGAGAGGATTGGTGATCATCTAGAGTCCTCAAGCCCCACACTCTCATTCAGTTAAACAAAACCAACAGAGCTCTTCATTTCCCAGTTCACTCGAGGGAGCTACACTGGTGCGCAGGCTCAATGACTCTCTGGCTCGAATCTTGCCTGGCTAAAGCTATCCCTTCATTGGATGAAGTGTTTTCTCACTCCTCCACCCGATCTGCACTTGTGTTCTGCTATTAAATGCAATTGTTTTTATTGTCTTAAATAACAGAAGCATCTTTCACCTGTTCAGTGGTTCTCAGCTGTGGATGTTTCAAAGAGCCCTACGCTACCTGCTGGGCTGTGGGCCCTGAGCGTCAGTATTGCACACCCCTGCCCTTGGCGAAAGACCTCTCCCCAGACGCTGGTCGTCAATCCAAGTCAACGACACTCGGCCCTCAGCTTATGGAGCTCCCCGATGGAGAATTTCAACCTTGCAGGTGTTAAAAGTGAGTCCGTTAAACAGAAAGCACGCTGCCGATTGTCTGGAGGGCGCACCCGCGTTGCGTACTGTGGCAACATCAACACGCTGGAGCTCAAGGACGGACACCGAGGACTGTGCAGCCTGAGTCAATAATTAAACACGCCATGCAAGCCAGTCCGGGTGGTTGGGTTCTGGCTCGGCAGTGCGTACCGGTGTGGTTTCTTTGGGTCCAAAGGCATCCCGACTATGGGACTGGCAGCGCTCCAGGGCTGAGTGGCTTAAGTCCAGTGTGCCGTGGTGTTGCGAGGGGTACTGGGCAGCTCGTGGCACAGCAGACAAGTGCCCATGGCCGTCTCTCCCAGAGTAGTACTGTAGCCAACAGGAGACTGAGAGAGTTAGTGCAGTCACACAGTACTTTTCAGTTTATTCTCTGCTACACTACACTTTCACCATCGCGCATGAGATTATTTGCTACGTTTCTGTTCTTCAAGTAAAAATATGTGCAAGTATGTTTCCAAAACATTAATAGAATACTACTGCAAGATAATGTACTATTAAAATGCTACTCTTCAGACACCCAGAATGAATGGATCATGTGAACTTTTCACTCGGATGCAGACAGGAGACTGTAGTCGGGCAAATATAATGGTCCTATTTCACCTGTAGAACCTGGGTCTAGCCCGTGTGGACATCTGATGAATGGATCCATTAATGGTTTCTAACCCCAGCACAAGAAAATCACTTTTAGCCCCAAAAGCCCGCGCTGCTGAATGTGACCCTCGCGACCTGGGAATCCGAATGCCAAAGTCTGCGACAGTGAAGCCGTGCCTGAGGCGAAGAGTACTGGGGCCCCTCACGTGCGCGTGCGTGGTGACGTAGCTGGTGTCCGAAAGCCTGCCCCCTAGCTGCAGGGTGCTGCGGTGCATGGGCCGGCCGCCGCGGTAGCTGACAGGCTGAGGTTTGCTGGCCAGGCGCTGGGCGAAGGGGCGGTCTCGGATGTGGGTCACCTCCTGGCCCCGGGCAGTCCGCACGCTGTCCGCCCAGGCCCCCTGCCCCAGCCCCGGCGTCGCCACTGCCCTCCGGTCATCGCACGGCGCGCCAGCTAGGGCACAGCAAGCACACCCTGAGTTTCCGCAGCGGAGCGCTGGAGCTGGGTGAGGAGGGCTGGCAGTAGCGCTCCCTGCTTCCTGTCAGAGCTCAGCCAGTCCTCCCCTGCTGCCTCAGTGCAAACACACACCCAGCACCCTCCACAGGCTCAGCTCCTGCACTCCCTTTCCCTGGGCTGTTCCAAAAGCACTGCATTGATCCCGAATTGCTTAATTAACCCATGTGGTTCAGATCAATTTGCTGATTAAAAAATAGCTTGAGCAAAGACTTGCAATTCATGAATTCCTTACACTTATATAGCGCTTTTCTGGACACTCCTCTCAAAGCGCTTCACAGGTAATGGGGACTCCCCTCACCCACCTGGATGATGCGACGGCAGCCACAGTGCGCCAGTTCATTCCCCACACACCAGCTCTCAGTGGGGAGGAGAGCAGAGTGATGAAGCCAGTTCAGAGATGGGGATTATTAGGAGGCCATGACTGGAAAAGGCCAGGGGGGAATTTGGCCAGGGTCACACCCCTACTATTTTCAAGAAACATCCTGGGATTTTTAATGACCACAGAGAGTCAGGACCTCGGTTTTACGTCTCACCCGAAGGACGGCGCCTTTTTACAGTATAGTGTCGCTGTCACTATACTGGAGCATTAGGACACACACTTGCAAAACCTATAATTCAGGCTGACCACCCCATGGAATAGACATTTGCTGTATCATAAGGCTGATTAGATAATGGGCTAGCAAAGCAGCTAATGTTAGTCATAACAGTATTTCTTCCCTCAAGTTCATTAAAATCTCCTATTAATTGGCATGTTCATGTCAAAGTCGAGACTTACCCATGCGCCATACAGTATGCAGAGTGTTAACCTAAGAGACTGCAGCTAAACACTGAATGTTTCTTAACTGCTATGGAAACAGGCGCAAGAACTCGCACAAAGTTCAGCCGGACGCGCAAGACGCCTCGGTGACATTTCACCGGAAGAGGAAGACGAAGCCACACCAATCCGTGTAAGCGCCGCCATACTGCTAAAGCAAACTGCCACACAATCTAATGCTGATATTATTGTCTTCTTTTTCAATGTCCTGTTCATTAGTCAGGCCTTCTTGAGGAAAAACACATTCTAGTATTTAACAAAACTACTCAGCGATGAAAAGCAAACACCCCATTGTATAGGAAACCTACGGATTTGATGGCGGTTTACGTATACGTTAAATATATATGGCGTTTAAAAATTGCATGAAATCCACTTCATCACTGTGACACATAATGCAATGCTGCTCATACGAAAAAATGATTCATACATTCCATATTACAAGATACGACTTTACTTTTTACACTGCAGCAATACCTAACTGCTAGTATAAGTTTTTCATACCTCAAACCGCAAGTGCATGCTCTCCTAGAGCCCACCCCCTCACTAAACAGATCGTCCCGGCGGCCAATCCCGTCTTGCGGCTGCTCCCAAGACCACGCCTCTTCCTGCAACACAACTCGCGTGCCGCCGCCGCGCGCTCACGCGAGATCGCTTTTTTCCCCCAAACTGCACCGCGAGCCCTTTCTCCTTCCTCTTTCCGCCATATTGCAGAACTGGTAAGGCTGGCGAGATTTGCTATCCCTTCTCAATCTTTTTCATATCGCAGCCATCCCAGACTTTACCAGACTGCTGTGCATCGCAAATTAAAGTTAGGACGTGGGGGGTTTAGTGGAGTCTATTCTGGTCTCGGCAGGATGTGTCTTTTCAATATAATTGTGCCCCGAAGCTGGAGGTGTCTCTGTCCCTAACTCTTTTACCTAGGGTCCGGTGTGTAGTGCTCATGTGCATGGGGATTTCTTGTCACACTGGGGCGCTGAGCACATATTTTAGCACTGCCAAACAACCACGGCATCGGGTTTGGTTACTGGGTTAAAAGTTGGCGATTGCGGTTGTGGTGTTAAAAGACAGACGGTTAGGGAGCTAGTGGTTGGATTGCCGGGAGGAGAGGGTCTTGTAGCGGTGGTACAGAGACTCTCCTGTAACTAAAATCCAGTCAGTGCGGCGTCAGACACCCATCCCGTTTCCTCAGGCGAGCTGGGTAGGTTTCTCACTCTCCGGCGAGTGTGGACTGCGAAATGTCTAGTCTTGGCTGTAGCTGATTTAAACACGGTACGTTCTTATTGTGCTAAAACGGCACCAAAGCGGGGGCTGCAGTGTTGTAACTGTGCAGAGGCTTAAGTCTTCCGTGGTGACCGTTCCTGGTGAAAGCTGCCCACGCCGCTTGCCCGTGGCAGCGGGAGATGCTCGGGTTGTTGTGGGGTAGGCCGAGATCCGAGCCTTGCAGCGGGCTGTGAGGAGGTTTCTTGGGAAGTTTTCTCCTTGCTTGGCTGTTGCACAGGAAGAGTGTGATGGTCATAGCACATAGGATGTTTGGAAAGCGATCTTATAGCACCTCGGATAGCTCTGTTATTGATTAGGTACGAGCTAATGGATTAATTGGCTTGGGGATACCTTCCATGGGCCATTTTTTAGCAGCCTGACAAGTGTAATGGGCCTGTTCGCTGACTGAGGGTAGATTTGTGTGGGTGATCTCAGTGCACCCTCGCTGATCCCTGGAGCTGGCAGCTGTCTGGTTTCCAGCGGAGGAGCTGGGAGGTCGGTGGTCTGGGCTCAGGGCATGGAGGAGGCTGGTGGGGGCGATGGTGCCCGGGCACTAACGAGCTGGTCTGTGACTCTGTCCGCAGGCATCATGGTTCGCATGAACGTCCTTGCCGACGCGCTGAAAAGCATCAACAATGCGGAGAAACGCGGGAAACGCCAGGTTCTGATCCGGCCCTGCTCCAAGGTCATCGTGCGCTTCCTGACTGTCATGATGAAGCACGGTGAGTGGTTGCTCCTCTGGTGGCCAGCCTCTGTCCAGCGGGTCCTCGGTAGTTGCGGGCAGTGTGTTCGCTTCAGACTGGCTGGGGGTGGATGGTAGTCTGGTCATGAGTGGAGTCCTGCATGGCACTCTGGGACAGAAGCGAGCACAAGTCCCCATTGTTGACTTGCAGCTCCGCGCGGAGATGCGTGGGGGTCTTGTAGCCTCTTGTCCTCGATGTAAATGGAATCGCCGGTGTGCTGTGGTTTCCTCACGGCCTCCTCCTTGTGGAAGACGTTCTCGTTCCCAGTGGAGGAATGGCGTTTGGCGTGGGGTGTAGCTCATGAAGTTTCTGCTCCACCTTTTTCCTTTACCAGTGGCGGTGCGCTAAGATTTCGGTGCTGTCTTCCCTCTCTCCAGGCTACATTGGTGAGTTCGAGATTATCGACGATCACAGAGCTGGGAAGATTGTTGTTAATCTCACAGGCAGGCTGAACAAGGTAAGTCTGGTTGCAAAACAGGTTTTAGTGGAAAAAAAACTATATGGTGAGGTCTTTTGCTTTATGCATTTGTGCTATTTACTAATAGGAATAATAATTTAAAGCTTTGCAGCTTGTGCCCACCACTTGTACATTCACATTTTAACTTCAGGCTCCAGTGCACAACTTTCTTCCAAACACCTTGTAAAACCTAAATGGACAAATATGCTGCCAAACAATACAAGACCAACAAAGATGAGCTTATTTTAATACACTGTGTCCAATTTTGTGGTTGATTCTGATTGTGATTTTTTTTACTGTGATGCATTGAGAGACTAAATGTTCAGACGAAGGATGAAATGCAGGGTGATGGAATATTCATGTCAAGGTTGGCCAGACCTGGACATGAGGAGCTGCCATCAAAAAAGATCTTCTGATGACCCTGAAATCAGCCGTTCTCACAGACTTGGAACGTGGGGAGATTAGAGCCAGTTGGTGCATCAGTTGGTATCATTGAGTCAGGAGTGGCCCACTGTGATCCTTGAGTGTTGTCATTTCAAGCGGCTTCTACACTCTTGAAATGTACTTCAGCAGACAAAGCAAAAATGATTTCCCAGGTGTGTGGAAATGGAGGGCGATCCATAGAATATGCTTGGCTGTGACTCTCCAGGACCCAGGTGGTCAAGGCCCTGATAGTTTACACAAGTTCAAATGGGAACCTTTCTTACAAAGAGGATGAATAGGATTTCCTAGGAAACAGGATTTCTGCTTAAGTGAGCTGTTTGAACCAGGTATAAGCTCCTTTTGTCCTGGAGTGCTGCCTGTGTGTCTTGCTTTCATTCTTGTTTGACCTTAATGACTTAATTGAGTCAATTAAGTGGCTAAGAAGTCAGATCATCTGACTTCTAGATCTCAGGCAGGTGAGCCTGGCAGTCAAGGGCATGATATTATTTAGGGCTTAGGATGGGGACCTTTCCTACAGTAAGGTTGAATAAAATTTGCTAGTTTCCCCTGGGAAGCCTTTGGCAGCAGTGGATGTAAAAGACAGAGATGGAGTCAGTGCTTTCTGCAGGAGTTGGTGGGGGGATAGTCTTTCAATATTGTAGATAATCAAGTGGAGTTAACATTTGTTTTCCTAACTGCATGATATCTGGTATTATTCCTTCATTCCTAGATGTTGTAAAAATGCACTAATTCTCCGCCTGTGTGATACATACCTAATGAATGTCACCTCTCTTAGAAGTAATCCCGTGCTGACTGTGGTCTCTCCTTGTTTTTGATAGTGTGGTGTCATTAGCCCCCGGTTTGATGTTCAGCTGAAGGATTTGGAAAAGTGGCAGAATAACCTGCTTCCCTCTCGACAGTTTGGGTAAGTGTCAGGTCTGCTCGTGTGACATTCCATGATTATACAGGCTCTCCGCCTCTCAGTGCATGCGGATTGAAATGTTGACCTTTTTAGTGCAGTGGAGCTAATTTTTCTGTGGTATGCCTTTAGAATTTACCTGCGTATCAATATGAGTGAAATGGAGGTAAAGTGTTTTTGTGTCCGTCACCTCTGACTGGTCCAGTTAGGTGTGTGGAGTGGTACTGAAAACAGTACGTTGCATACCTGTACTGCAGGTTCCTGGTGTCAGTAGGAGCTTGTGTTGACTTTGGGGCTGATGGTGGGGATGTTGCGTGTAGCTCTGCATCATAGTCATTAGTCTTATCTCGCGTCATGACTCGGTGTCTTTTTATCCAGTGCTATGGTTCATTTTAAATTGGCTCTGCTGGTCTGGCGAAGGCATGTTGACCATCACTGGAATTTTATTTCAGACCCCAGGTTGTAACATTCTGTACCTTTACCTGATTGAGGATGTTGTCTTAAAACAGCCTTCATGCTGGGAGGCGTTGTCTGCTACTGGTCACCTGTGCTTTTCTCTTTTTTGCACTATAGAAATGCACAACAAATGAGGACAATTTCAGTTTCTTGAATGTCCATTTCCTTAAGCAAACAACTATTAAGCTGTGTCTCTTTCAGTTAATTTTTTTTCTGCAGTATGTGATTGTAGAAGAACTCCTACTGACACCTTTTGATACTTGGGAGGATTTAAAAAATATTTATAATTTGTTTTACAGAATTGATTTCTTTAATCAGAATGTACACAATGCAGATTCTACATTGAATATTAATTATATAGTGGAGGTTCTAGTAGTGAATGTTTGAAGTTGTTTACTTATGAAATGCAAGAGTGCTTAAATCTCTGAATCGGATGTATAAAAGACATTTAATGTAATCCATTTCATCTGATCTTTTTGCAACTGTGCACTCTAATCATTAGATGACTTGAAAAGCACAGAGGCATTCTGTATTGCAGTTTGCCAGAAGTCACTCTTCCCTTTATCTGTGAGTTAAACAAAATCCCTTGTGAATTTAAAATAAAGGAATTTAACGCCGGAGAATTCTTTGCAATTGTTGACTTTTTTGGCGGGGTCCTTCTGTGTGAATCTCTGGTATTTGAAAAGCGATGAGCCGTAAGGGTTTCTCCAAGCCAGTACCAGCCCCACGCCACGACACTGGTTTTGTTCAAAGGTGTAGAAATGACACAAGTGTCAAAAGCTGAAGCATGATTTTAAGTTCCATCCCTTCTACATGATCAAATACGTAGTATGGCTTGTGTGTGTAGCTCTAGAGCCTTCATTCTACTCTCATCGGTGTATAATCTGCTCTCTCTCTGCAGATACATTGTGCTGACCACCTCTGCTGGCATCATGGACCATGAAGAAGCCAGACGAAAACACACAGGAGGGAAAATCCTGGGATTCTTTTTCTAAAACATGTAAAGGCACCTGCAAATAAAATTTTAAAATGGACTTAGTGTGTGCTGTTTGCTGGCAGTCAGCTCTGAGGTTACATTAGGGGGAGCTAGACAGTTCCTCTCAAGGTGTCTTGGAAAGTAGGATGCCTCTTGTTTAGAAATTGTCACCCGCTAGTCAATAGCTGCAGTTTCCATGAAACAGCTCGAAGTCCTTAAATTTGCATCTTGATGTATTTTATTCGTGGAAACTGCAGTTCAGTAAGGATGTCTTAAGACTTTAGAGTATACGATGAAACTCAATGCCCTTTTTAATACAAGGACGTTTTTAGCAATCGGTCTAGTAAGAGGGCCTTGTAGCTATTTTTGAGTTGTAAATGTCATGGGTACTCTTGCATTGTGTATGGAAACTGTTTTACTTTGATCTCCGAGTTAGATCAATAATTCATATGGTTAGAGGTTTGACATCCGCCCACGCCAGTTTCAGCTCTGTCAGGACAGTGTTTTATAAGGAATCTGTCTGCTCATTGTGGGCCGAATACAAACCTTTACCAGCGTAGCGCGGAGGGAGGAAAGTTAAATGGGGGGGTAAAGTTGCCTCCTGCCAGATTCTGGACAGAAGCTTCCTCATAATAAATGAATGTTAATTTAAAGATATTAAAACATGAATATCGCAGCATTTAAAATTAACAAAGGAGGAGAGTGTGGAAAAATTCTAAATACGAAGGAGTTTTGGAATTGGGCACCAGCACTGATGGTAATTATGTGCTGGGCGCTGGAGGGGATGGCTTTGTTGAAGGGCTGCTTTGTAATTAAAAATCACACTGCTGGAAAATAACGAATTCTACCACAATGACGCAGCAACACTTCTGTAATTAAGGTCCTTCATGGGTCAGCCCTGTGGAGATCCTGATTCAGGTGGGTGTGGTCATTCTCAAGGGCAGAAGGGGAACTTGAGAATTTTAGCTGGTTTGCCAGCCTGTATCATCAGAAGCGAATCTATCTTACAGCCGGGGTTCCCAGGTGTGGTCCTGGGCGGCTGGTTGGTCTGGTTTTCAGTCCAGCTGGGCTTTCAACGGCCTGCGTCGGCTTGTTATCGATTCAATTCGGAGTTGAGAAGCTGCTCTCGGCTTCCCGATCGAGAGAGCTTTGGGCAGCCTGTAGAGACAGTGGGCCTCCAGGATGGTGGGGCATCTTCCCTAGGGAGAGTGCCGGGCATAAGACCATTTTCCTCTGAGGCCGAGTGCATGATTCATGCATTTATAACTTCAAGGCTTCATTTCTGCATGGGGCTCCCTCACCCTTCTCACTAGGTTGCATATTTCCAAAACTCGCAGTAGCCCCTGGCAGCACATCGCTCCTACACTTAAATCTGTACATTGGTTGCCTATCAAGTCGCATATTGAATATAAAGATCTCATTAGTGATTTTTAAAAAGGCTCTAGCACTGGCTCTGTTGTACCTCTCTGACCTGTTTATACTCCCTCCTGTAGGCTCTATTCAATTGAGGCTGGTCCTTTGCTCACTATACCTGGGATTAAATCTTCAATTTTTGGTGAAAGGTCTGTGAAAAGATGGCAGTGGAGCGCCTGGCCATATTACAAACTGGTGGCTGTGTTAATGTTTATGGGAGAAATAAATCCGGCCTACCTTCCACCCCCACATCCCTCTACCCAAGCACAACTGCTGAGGGAGGGTGGATCGGAGCGTTGGGAGAGGGTGCGAGATGGATCGGCATGTCTTTGGGAAGTGAGCAAAGGAGAAATTCAGCCACAGGAAATGTTTACGGTCATGTTTGCCGAGGCTGCTGGGATTGTGCCGTGCCTGTCTCAGTTTGTCCATCCTAGACCTTTCCTGTTAAGTCTGGATCCCTCAGTGCCCTTGCTCCTCTTGAGTTTTTCCTCTATCAGCAGACTCTCAGAGCAAAGCGTTTCTCCCCTTGGCCTCTGCCACAGAGTCCCTCTTCCTGAACAAAGCCGTACTTGTCTTGCACACAGGTGTTTTATGTCGTAAGAACAGGCAGGAGCCTGGTGGTTTCTTTTCGAGAGCAGCCAGGTGCAGGGGACGGTCAGCGATGAGCGAGTGACCTTGCAGCGGACAGTACTACCTCAGCCTCCCCCCCAGACACCAGCTGCTGTAGATCTGAAATGTGCTTCCTCTACAGACAGGCATTGTGGAAGCAGCAGGTGTGTGCTGCTGGAGGACCGGTGATCCGGGGCTAAATCAGGTTAACAGAAGAGCATTGTAGAGCTCAGAAAAGCAAAACTGGAGGGCTGTGTCGACTTTTATTCAATGGGAAAGGTACCATTGTGATTTTTTTTTAAATGCACCTAGCTGAAGCAATCCTCAGCTTTACATAAATTAATATTGGAAAGGTTGACAAAAAGCATCGTAATACAGAGAGTGGCACAGAAAGAAAAACTTATTATACAAATGTTTTCAAATGAGATTTTAAAGTTACAACTGAGGCCGAGTGTTGAAGGCGATTAATGTGATCCTCTGTCGGGGAGCGCTTCCACAAACGGCGGTCTCTCCCTTGAGAACTTCAACCTTGGCACAGAAAGCAAGCCAGCATTAGCAGATATTAATGTATCACTTGGCTGACAAGTGAGCATTTCAGTGTAATGTGCCAGACCATGCAGTGCTTTAGATACTGTAGAAGCAAAAGAACTTTAACATCAGTTCTGTGATGAAGACAATGCATTGCTGCCAGCAGCAGAGTAATGCCAAAATCTTTTTTTTTGGTAACAGTAAAAGCATTGTGCACAAGCTTCCAGTGAGATAAGAAGTTACGTCTTGGAAAATAAAGCATGCATTATACGGTACAACAGAACAAGCAGAGGTGAACTCCACATTGAGATGGGAAAAAAAACAAAATTGATCCTGTTGAGTTGCAAGCGCAGAACAGCTAGCTCCTGTTGGCAGGGGGTGTCAAGCTGCTTGTGCTTGAGACGGCCATGTCGTGACCTCACGGGCTGTGCTCATTTTCAGGCCTGGCCTGTAGATCAGTTTCAGGAATTTGCTGGCCTCTTGTGCTACACTAGGACTACAAATCCAGAATATGGCGTATTCTGTGAAGGTAATTCATACGGGTGAACAGAGCACTGAGCCACCACGGTCCAGCGGGAGATCTGCCTTCCCTGTGGTGTGGAGGAAGGTGATTGACCAACACATGCCCTCTTGCACTGCAAGATCCTGCAAAGGACAAGTCTGAGGACCTCCTGTCTCATTTCTGATACACAGGTTATAAACCGTGAAACATGCCGGTCGGTCTATCCTTCACCATGGTTTTCTCTGTCCTTGGGTGATCTTGCGGCAGTGTGTATTTATTGCGCCGCACTTCTCCCAGCTGTGTAGATGAAGTCTGTTCCAGAGTCTCCCTGTCATCCTGGTCCAGGCCGGTCAGGACGGGTCAATGGGAGAGAAGGTTGCACAAGCAGGTCAGCAGCAGGCATCCCGGGGGAGAGAGTGAGTTTCCCCCGCACGGAGCTGCCTCCTTTCCCCTGCTGGGGTGACCTTCTGTTTGCAAATAAACTGCGTCGGTTCCTGATGAATCACGCAGCCTGCCACCTCCAGAAGGCTTGGGTAAAAACTCCCTCCTCTCCCTCTGTTCCCTTCCCTTCTCCTGTGGATCACAAGGTCGTGCGGAGACGTCAGGACAGCGGAGATGGTCCTCTTGGTGACAGCAGGGGGAGCTCTCCAGCACTCCTTCGGGTGTTGGTTTTGTCTCCTGCCACTCCAGCACACATGTGCCTCTTTTGGCTCTCCATCCTGCTAGCTAGCGGGCAGGGCTTTCTTTTGCAGCTGAGACAAAAGGGCAGAAGTCTCTGATGCACAGTTATTTTCTGGAGCATGTCAACAGTGTAAAGAAGGTTACAAGGGTCCGGCACAATTCCAGCAGGACCCTGGGACGTGTCCTGGCCCATGTGAGCACGGGGGATACTCTTCATTTTCGAGGACCTGACCAATCGCCAGTTACTGAGTAAAGGAGCCGATCGCAGGACAATTACTTTTAAAAAAAGCTTTTTTTTATTTTTTACATGAATCCCTAATGAGTCAACTAACGGTCAATTCCGGACCTAAATCTTCTTTTCAGTGGTGCTTAGTCCTGTTCTTATCCCAGTTCATTTCATAGTTTGTCTGCTCCACATTGGTTGAGATAAAACTAGAATACTCTTTTTTTTTTTGCCACCCTAGGTCGGTTCCAAGATTTGTGGGTGCAAAGACGTTTTATTTTGGCTAGGCATTTCATTTATTGCATGCTCACACAAAAAAATCATCAGTACGCAGAAGGATCTCCTTGGGAGGCTTGAGCCAGATGACAGGTGTATCTCCGAAGGAAGTCGGCCACAGTCCTGAACTTTCTGTCAGCAACAGGACCCTCTCTCTGCAGGTACTGTGACCTCAGAGAACATTGTGACCTGAAGTTTTCCCTTTATTTTCTTGCAAACATCCTGACTTAAAAAGGCACAGCTAAAAATGTTATTGAAGCCGTTATTGGCAGGGACTCGTTTATGATTTACAGTGAGTAAAAATAAAATAGAGAATATCATTTAAGGTGTCCTGCACATAATATAGTATGGTTACACATGCATTGACATTTTGTAATAGGAGATGTTGCAACATTAATTGCCAATATTAGCCAGTCAGCGTTGTCACTGGAACAGAAGCCACAGGAAGGTTTTACCTTGGGCATGTTAAACCGGTGTTGAGCGTAGCTCATTACTGCAGGATTGGGAAAGCTGTGACCAATAATGGAACATTTTCAATCGCAGTTTTCATGCATTACAACACAACAGCAGTTTGTATTATATCCAGCCGGTTGCTTTTACCTCGGGGCATCGTATAATAACTTTTTATAATACATTTTTTTTTTTTGAAAAGGCACAAAAAGCTCTCATGTCAGCTTGATTTTTGCTAGTAAAGACAGTAATCAGATCCTGGCTGCGCCGCTGCTGGCACAGCAGTAGTTTGATCACACTTCCGTGCCACGCAGGACTGGGGGCAGTCAGGCTGGGTGGCATCTCTGGCGCCAGTGCTGACTCTGACATCTGCAGG